CACTATATATATATATATATATATATATATATATATATATATATATAAAGTGATAAATATCAAAATATAATAAGCGAAAAGAGTGTGTGTCAAGTCACACGTGTCATCACTCTTGTGATTGGCTTACCGGGTATATATGACATGACACTTCCATAAATAGGAGAGAACTAATAGTTCATACGGCTATAGTCTTTTTGGGTTGCCTCTCCTATTCTCCTCCCCTTCTCCTCCTCAAATACAAGGCTTGAAGTTTTAAGGAGCATCGTCGTAGGTCTGCTATGTGGATCACTACTAGAAAGGAGGACGCGTGACCTCCTCCACCCTCTCCTAGAGATCTGTAGGGATTCAGAGATATACGATTGCCCTAGGTAACACAATCTTTCATATACGTAGTTTTAAGTTTCGTGATTTTTGTGCACCAATCTTCGCACAACGATGAACACATCGATGGAAAATTTTAAGGATTTTGTTTTTATGTTCTTCTGCTACCCAAGTGATGTCGCCCCTAGATTTTCCAACATAATACTACAAGACTACACATGAGTCAATTTATGATAAATGTGAGGGTCATGATGATGATATTGACCCAGATCTCATAGTTGACATTCATGCATCACTAAAGCATCAGTATATATACGAGAAAGCAATGAGGCATCAGCGATCTAACACACAATGAGAATGTGATAGTGGTAGTGAGTCTATGCCTCATGGCCAATCTGGAGGTTGGGCATGAGGCAGCTAACTACCCCTAATTAGTAGAGATGGATTGGTAGCTGAAAATAGCTATAATTCATAATTTTATTAAAGGACTTGGCATGAGATTAATACCAGATATTATTGATATTAATATGTAAGCTTATCATCTACAAACAACGAAGCAGACACAGATCGACATATACAAAAGAAAATAAATGAGATATTGGGAAGACAATAGTTAAATAGTTCAACTTCCATAGGATTTCAACAAACACCGCCCAAGGTCTTTATTATTAGAGCATGGTCTCCTCTATTAAAAAGACCGATACAGAGGATCAAGCTTCCAACATCAAAGGAGATTCACAATGTGTATTTAAATAAAGAGATGGTAGAACTAGAGGATTAAATCAAACCCTTTAAAAACTAGTGAGACAGATATGAGGTGACACGGATGTGTGACAATTAGATGGGACCAATAAAAATGAATATCGTCAATTTTCTTATTTATTATGACAAAAAAATTATTTTTCATAAATCAATTAATACTTTCAATAAAATTCATGATGCAAAATATATTAAAACTCTAATGGACACCATAGTAGAGGAGATCAGATAATAATACATTATCTAAATAGTCATTGATAATAGAGTCAATTTTAAGAAAATTGATTAAAAAAATATTATTTTGGACTCCATGTATAGCTCATTATATAGATCTAATACCGAAGAAAATTAACGAGCTATCATAAGATAATAAGTATATAGCTTGGGTATGTCAATCATAAAGTTTATATATAATCATCATTGGATTCACTCTTTGATACAATAATATACATCTGGTGAGATACTCTGACTCGAAATCACTCAGATTGCTATAAATTTTATTGCATTAAATTCAATATAGCAAAAGAGGTAGGGTTTGAATGCCATGGTTGCTTAACAGGAATAGTCCAATTTCAGGTATTCAAGATCAACCAAAAAACATATATGAAAGATATTATTCTTTCGTCTAGATTTTAGGATACTATGAATGAAATGACAATATGAGTAAAACCACCTTAGGTTATCGTTGATATGGATATACATATGTCTTATCTTATACATATGTTGATTTTAAGGTAGAGCAATATTTATAGATCATTGATTATAGGATCAAAGTTCATATGGACAAAGACATCCATAATGCAGGTAAACTCATATTCAATGTAATCTAATTAATAATTTTTTAATATTTAAAAAAAATTTACTAACGAAATTATTTATCTTATAACGTATTATCTAAATTCAACTATTTAATTTTGGAATTGCCTTGGATCGTGATCTGATTTAATGTTATCACTTAGAAATATTATATATCAACTCTTATCAAACATTATCGATGCAATCGATACTATTATGGAGGGTCGATTATTTCAAAAAATAATTGGTTCATTCTCCGGCAATGTAGTTGTATCGTGTCGTTATAATATAAATGCTAGTACGAGAAAGTTACACATATGTTAATTATAAATTATATTTAATATTAATTATTTATTATGCTAACAAAGTCTTCTTTATATCTTTTTACAATATAAGTTATGATTACAATTTGGAGTTGATGCACCGAAATATTGTCATTCCTGTACTTTCACAAACGATAATATCAAGTGATTGCAAACATAACTGGTCAACATTCATATTGATTCATATGAAGGTCCACAATAGACTATCATATAGATGGTTGAAGAAACTTATATATATATATATATATACTAAAACATATTGCTAAGTTTGCAATATGCCGTGTTAGACAAGGAGCTAGAGGAACTAGAGATTGATTTTATCGACCTCTAATATTACAATAAAGATTCTCAACTGATGTTAAAATGGGTCGAAGCAGTAGAGAACAAAGAAGATCCTCTACTTAATGAGGGAGAAGATCTTCTACGTTCTTCACATTTTTATCATTGAGGCAATAAAAGAAGAGAAAATATATCCATAATAGGAGAAAGATCTCTCTCGATCAAAACATGATTGAAGGAACCATATAACATTGAGTTAGACTACTCGATGAACTAGAGACACCTAACTATTTATTGTCCACCAAGTGTGCAAATGTAAAGGCAAAGGTAAAGGGGAAGATTGTAGCATCAGTCACACTATTAGAAAAAAATGAGCTGGACGACGAGACACATTTTCAATTACATTTAATAACTCACTCAGTTCAGAGATATAACAGTGACATGGATAATAATGTCTTGATCGATTGTGACAATGATGCTAGGGAGTCAATAGTCACGTCTACATAATTTAAAGATTGTGCATAGATCGAGGAGCAATATTTTCCACATATTACTCAAGATTCAGATTATATAGCTTAACAAGATACTTGTTAATTTTATACATGGAAGGGGAAGAGAAAGATAATAGATAATTTTGAGTAGATGTGATAGAGCCTACATGATGTAGACATAAAGCAAAGCTCATTGTATTCACAATTGTTGTATTATGGAGAATCTTATGACAAATAGCATTACGTTAATAGTTGATCATTCTTCTTCGAGTAGTAGTACTATAATCGATCTTTGATATAAAGTAATAGATCAATGGTGAAAGTAGAAGTTTTAATATTCTCTAACCTTCGCACCAATACTTACCACAATCATACTTTGCCTTAGGAGCCATATCGGACACGTATGATTTACGATAATCAGACTATGATCATCACCATATTTATCTACTAATGATATGTATTGTATCAATATATTATATCATGAGATCAATTTCAGGATTGAGTCCAACATACATATCAAATTGATATACATATACAGAAGATCGAGGATCCGATCTATTACTCGTGGAGTCTCATCGTTATTTTTCAATGATAAAACCAGATATATCCATCGATCAATTACTTAATTTAAATCTTGAAGTTTAAGTTATTTACCATATAATCTAATAATTTAAATTATTTTTTACAAATAATTCAATATGGACATTCTAAAACATGTCATAAAGTTATTCCTCAGAGCCCAAAAAAATATGTATTATTATTCTTTCTTAATTTAGATTATTTTTAATAAATTTATATTTATTTTTAACTTAAAAATCTTAATCTAATTTTTTTTTTCACGTTGTTAGGTGCGTCTCGTCATATCAACAATTACATCGTTACGAAGCGATGCATATCGTACAATCGATCGATCAATCGGTATAGTGATTCAAACTTATGAACCCTTATATATATATATATATATATATATATATATATATATATATATGACTGTCCGGAGTCATGCTCTGTTGTTGACTGATGCAATTAAATTGAACTCTGACATATTATTCTTCAGGATCTTTGTATTTATTTTATTCGAGGGGAAAAGAGAATAATTATATATATCGGAAATTATTTCTTAGCTCTGTTGTGGACAATGATTTCTTACTTCACAATTATATATATCGGAAAAAACAAAAATTATATATATGTATATAACCCTTCAAAATTAGTTTTGTTTGCCTCTTTAAATTTTAATTTAGAATATATGTATATACATGTCATCATAGTTAATAATTATATTCATGAGAGGTGAAAGTAATAAATGACTATTCACGTACTTAAATTTGAACTTTTAAAAATTTGTTATAGTTAAATTTAATTGATTAAACATATATTAAACATATAAATATTTGAAGGAGATATATATGTGTGTCTAAATTTTAAATAATCAAGCAATATATAATATTTTACTGGAAGGGACGAACATTAGATATTTAACATCCAATTTTTTGAGAGGTGATAGGGTATATTTTGGCCCTAGATGAATCACCAACAAATGTCGCAAACCAACAGTCACGAATTTTACGCCGTACGCCATGTCAAGTTCGATACCGTGCGACTATGCAACTGTGCGACCTGACCACCCCAAGAGCTTAGGGCGGTGTCATTTGATGCCGCTCAAGCACCCCCGAAGACGCCATCTCGTCAAAGGGGTTGTCCCGCCCCCGCGAGAATCAACGACCACGCCGAACCGAGGCTCAACCAACTCTCGCATGCAGGTATAAATACCCCCAGCCAATCCTAAGAAAAGGGGGGAAGAAAACACAGGAATCCGAACTAATTTGACTTGCTCGTCGGAGGGGCCAAAGTTGGGACACACCCGACGAAGGCCGTTTTGCGGGAAGGGGATCGCCATCAAGTTGCGAGTGTCTTCACCCCGAAGTCGTCATCCAACACGCAAAGGAGGGTGGTCCAACTGATCGGATCCCGATTAGCGCCAGCCTGCATCTCCTATCTCAAGGAGGCGCCCACGTCCACGAGGAAGATTACCAACTATCCCGGGGACGAGAGGACGCATCTCGTCATAAACGACGCTTGGGTCGGCTGGCTTTCGAGTGCTAGCCCCGAATCGCTCATGAGGACTCGACCAATCCTACCGTCTCAACCCTCGCCCAAGATACTCGAGGACCGCAGCCACCTCATCACCCCACTTATTCTACCAAAGGTTCCCAACTTCGGCACGTGGTCCTAACGGTACTAACTCAACTTATGTTCACTTTTGGGAAATAAAAGTTTCATTATTGATGTGGTCTGATGTCGGTGGATGACTTAGTGTTGACCGGTTGGAATCTGTTCAAACCCGATCCGCATAAAAAGGTCCCGTGATGGTGCCACGTCTTTTCTGCATTAAGATCAGTGCCGAGTGAAGCCTCGACATGATCCTTATGATACGCAAGTTAGACTTTAAAGATGAGATTAGACGACAGAAAGAGGAAAACGAGTTTGTATCCATCTTTACTTTTATGGTCGGTCCTCCTTAGTCGCTTTTGAATATATGTTGTTAGATTTTGCCGATGTGGTGGGGGCATCGGTCGAGGACTTTTTGTCGTCGTGGCTGCTACATGTCGAGCTCCGGATCGAGGCAAATATTCCCCATATCAATTACTCATCCGAAACTAAACAAGTACCAGTGAGCGCAGGTGTGTGTCATCAATAAGGCCGCCATTAAACACCAAAGAAACCACCGACCTCAGAATGGCCATGGCGTGGCTGCCCGCGTAAAACCAAAGCACAGCTCGACAATACGAACGTACGCGCCATTGAATCCACTGAGAGTGGCATCGAGTTCATGCTCTGAGGCTCCAATGAAGCGCAAGTTTACAGTGGGGAGGACAAGGTCGCATCGAACGAGTTGGTCCTCATTCTCATGAAAGGTCCCCCTCAGCCTCTCTGTTCTCCCCTGGAGGTGGATCTCTACTTCACGTGATTACAGGAAATCCCCACATCTTTAGAATACAAACATACAAAAGCTTGGCTCGAATCTTCGGGAAGAGAGACCGAAACCAGCAGCACCTCTACAGTGACACAGAGGTGAGGGGACTGAAACTAGTGGAGTTACATCTTCGCAATAAAGAGGTGAAGTCTTGAATGAGGAGGCAGACTTGCATGCACTGAGGCAACCACTGATCTCTGTAGTTGGATGCCGAGACGCACTGTGGCACTGCTGCTGTTTCTTTACTGTCACTGCCTTAAGTCTTTAATGAAGTCAGGGAAGGAAGGGAGAATTAGATTAATACAAATGGAAGTACAAGTCTGAGAAGATCCTCCACCAACAACAAGACTCCTCCTCCTCCTCCTTCATGTCTCATAATTCCTAACCGGAGGAAGAAGAGTGGTATGATGAGAGCACGGGACCCATGACTACTGTGCCATAAACAGCACAGCCATGGCTCCATCCCCATCTCATCACAGTGTCACTGCAATGGTAGCTTGGCTTCTACCTACATCAGGTACCACCAAGGTGGGACCCGTTCTTTGTCGTAAAGAAGTGGAGAGGAGTGGGGGGGAGCTTCTTCTTCTTCTCTCCTCCTCAAAGACTGTGTGGTTTCCATAGCTATAGCCAAATGTATACCACCATCAAAGCCATTCTTGTTATTTGTTTACATGTGCACAGCATACATGGTGTCTTGTGCTCAGTTCCTGTTGCACTTCCCAAAATGTCCTCTAGGCTATGGTTTTAGGTCTTTGTTTACTAATCCATTACACAATCTGGTCAAAGAAAGACAGCATCTGCTTTAAGTATAATCATCAATTAGGACCCACATGTTTCCACAGTAAATCAAGCTTACACCAAACCTATAATAAAGTTTAGGCAGGACATAGCTGCTTAAATTGTTGCAATGCAATTACTTCTTCTTGATATGTTCATCTGTGTACACTTAAAAAATAAAACCGAAAGCTTTGTTTTGAAATCTTGTAATGATCTATCAAAGTCTTTACTAGCAAATCTAACTAACTTATTATCGATAATACTTAACTTATTGATCCGAGATACGATATTATCATCCTAAACCCGAAACCCGAAACCCGATCAAGAATTAAAATATTGTTTGATATAAATAAAATCATCATATTAGGTAGAAAGAAATTATTCATATAATCAATCTTTTTTACTTATTGTCATGAATCATGCAAAACTATGCACATGAGGGAAGTTAAAAGACCAAGTTTGGGCAGCCTAAGAAGCTACCCCAGTGTATACCTAACCCTAGCCCTAACACTCATGCCAAACTTCTCCATGTGGGTCGTTCAAAAGAGAGACTCACATCTGCCCTTTGTGGCCTTATCCCCTCCTCTCTTTAATACTATAAACCCACCATCCCAAATGAGTGAGTTGAGTCCTTACATCCCTTTGCTCCTCTCAGTACTGAGAACATTTCCTAATCACTTCCCTCAGACCCTTTGGTCTCTCCCACTCTCTGTAAGTGTACCAAAGGTTTTCTAGTTGAGGTATGAACATCTGAATGTGAGCTAGCCATGACTGTGTTTTCTCCATGTCTTGAAACATCTTCGCCATTTGCATGACCTTGTATTGCACTCTTCCTTCTTCTGTCTTAGGTCTGAAGTTGGAGGATGGAAGATGTGGATTCCCATCTGTTCCACTGGGTAAGAGAAGGCAAACAAAAGAAAGCATGCTTGTGTTCACCGTCTTCGTCCCCTCTGTGACTCTCTTGTTCTTGCAGGTACCAACCTCCGAACCTGTAGCGGTACCGCAGCAGGAAGACATGGCAAGAATTTGGATTAAAGGCCAAGGGATCCTTGTACTCCATGGTGATTCCCCTTGTGAAGTATCCTCTTCTTCTTAGTTCCCGGATGGTGCTATCCTAGCTGAGCTTTTCTCCCCTCTCTTCTTGTCTATCCTTCTTCACACCATGGCTTGCAGGTTAAACTGTTCTTGACCTTGTAAGACCTTTTCTTGACCTTGTAAGGCCAAATTCTCTATTTAATCCCCTCGTCTCCAAACTCCACGTGGAGTGAGTCAATACGAACTATATTCCTATCTTCGTGCCCTCCTCTTCCCCTCTCCTCCCCTCTATCCCTCCTGAGCTATTTTGCTTATATTTACTCCACCGTATGGTTGTCATCTGTAGCATGTTACTTGTGCAACTGTGTCGACGATACTGTGTCTTTGTATTCGGTGGGGTTTCACATGTGGTTAAGGCAGTGTATTATTCTTCTTGTGACCCATCGAGGATATGGATCCTTACAGTCCTTTGTTTTGTATGGCAGTCTGCTATGATACATACCCCATGTCTTTTGGTAAAGCTCTCCTCATCATGTTGAAGTTTTGGATGCCACCATAGATGCGTTTGATAAGGTGAAAGGCACAAGGATGCTGATAAGATAGCATGGACTTTCTCACCAGCTTGTCTTTATTCAGTCTAGCAAGTGGATGTATACATAGCATATAACTCCAAGCATAAAAGACTCCATGAAAGTTCTAATACCCACTTGAGATGAATCTGGGGGAAATCTACTTTGGTTTTCGCATGCATCAGGACAATCCTCATCAAGTCAGCCACGTGCTCTGGTGCTGAGATATGCTTCGCATTCAAGAAACATGTGACCTTATTGCCATCATAGTTTCTGAGAACTGATTCTTTTGACCATATTATTGTATGACAATGCATAATATAACTTCATCAAAACATGGGAACTTTACATTCTCGAATAGCCCATTTGAGCTTCAAGGAAAGAAAAACCTTCTTCTGATGTTTATTGATCAAGAAATATTGAGGGAAGAGATATCAAGTTACATGTGTTACAGAAAACATTACATTCTGAAACTTCTGCATGAGTTCTACAACAATTCTTGAACTGTATAAAAGAGGAAAGCCATACAAGAAAACAAAAACTAGGTTTATATCTTCACCTGTAAAAGGCAAGGATGCAAAAACCCTGGCAGTAACACTTGACATTGCTGAATATGTAATGATAGGGTGCATATGGGCCAGGATGATGCTTAAAGACTATTTCTTTGATGGAGACCAGGCCAGGTTCCTATACTTTAGGTCTCCTTTCTTGGTGCTAACCACTAACCCTTGTCTACCACCACATCTGTTCAACACAGGTTTGCAATCATAATGTCTTTGAAATGCATTTAAGAGGTGCCCACCACCTCCTTGTCCTACCTCACTTTGCATGGTTAAAGGCTTGTTTGTTTCATGTTCTAGGTTCATTTAGCTTTCAATGCTTCTCTCCATCTCCATCTCCACTTGAGAGAGACTCTTTAAATGGCGTCATCGATGCAGAACAGTGCACAGCATTTTGAGGAATATAATACACTGAGATGCTATCACAGTGTCTTTAAGGAGCTCGCACTGCAGTGATTCACTATATATATATATATATATATATAACACCATCAACAAGTGAGAGATTATAAAAATATATCAAATGAAATTTTAAACCTTTCTATCTTTGATAAGTAAGTCTAACATATCAGCATCAAATTAGTATTTTAGGTATAATTATTTTTTATATTGAATAACTTATGATTAGATTTATAATTTAAAATTATAAAATACAAGAACTTGACATGTAATAGTGATGCCATCAAAAGAAAAAGACAAAAGACCCACCAGTAGGTTTCACCACTTCAGCAAAATCCAAATATAAAATATTTTTCTAATCCTAATTAGCTAGGGAGGATGGGTTATAAATGATAAATATGGGTACATTAAATAAGGTTAGGATCTTCAATATTTCATATCTAACTTAAGAATATTAGAGATTTCTTTTGGACATTCGTGTAAATGTAAGAAAGAGGGCTTAATCAACATTTCTCGTACGGATCTAACTCGAATCATGAACTCAAAGATCGATCGTCTTTGAGTTTGCCAACTGCAATAACTAATCAAATAGCTCATTGAATTCGACCTCTGATTAACTTCAAAAAATATTAACCTCGTGATAAAATCACATATAATACGGTTATGATGCATTTTGATGCTTAATTGATATATGTATCTTATTGTTCAATTGGATCGATAACATCATTTTGTACAATTAAAATAGATCTCAGGGGTGCAAAATTGGATGCGTTGCAACTCGATTTATGGATCTAATTCTTCATCTATCTTATCAAATCCGAGTTTGGATTCAAATTGACATCAATCGGACTCTTAGCGGGCAATGAATTCGATGTATCCGATTCGATTTGTATCAACCGTTCGAGTAAACATGTTTTCTAGTTTTTGTTTCGAAAAGTAAAGAAACACAAAACAGAAACATACCAAACGGGCCCCCAATCCTCATGCAGATCTCCATCGACGGTCTCGATCTGGTTATCACGGATGATCAAGATTCGTGTATGTTGTACCGCTTGACAGCCTAAGCGGAACGATAATATAAGCAAGTATCACCATATCAACGTTCCAGCAATTAAATTAAACTAGCCTAAACTGACTCGCGAGGCAGCATATCGAAATCCCCCTCTATCTCTATGTATATTAAATCCAAACCCTAAGCGCCGCCGCCTCTCACCCTTCCCTCTCCACCATCTCCCGACCGGCCAAACCCTAACGGTAGCAGCCTGGGGGCGACAAGATGCAGATCTTCGTGAAGACGCTGACGGGGAAGACGATCACCCTCGAGGTGGAATCGTCGGACACGATTGACAACGTGAAGGCCAAGATTCAGGACAAGGAGGGCATCCCGCCGGATCAGCAGCGTCTCATCTTCGCCGGAAAGCAGCTGGAGGATGGCCGAACCCTCGCCGACTACAACATTCAGAAGGAGTCCACGCTCCACCTCGTCCTCCGCCTCCGCGGCGGTGCCAAGAAGCGCAAGAAGAAGACCTACACCAAGCCCAAGAAGATCAAGCACAAGAAGAAGAAGGTCAAGCTCGCCGTGCTCCAGTTCTACAAGGTCGACGACGCAACCGGCAAGGTCACCCGCCTCCGCAAGGAATGCCCCAACGCCGAGTGCGGTGCCGGAACCTTCATGGCCAACCACTTCGACCGCCACTACTGCGGCAAGTGCGGCCTCACCTACGTCTACCAGAAGGCGCAAGGTGAGTGATCGAGTAATCTCATGCCTGGTTTAAGAATATGTGACTACTGAACACAAAGTTAAATATTTGAAATTGGACTTAGTTTTATGCGGTTGGAACAGTCTGTTTTCGTCATTTTTTTAGTTCTGCCTTAATGATGGATGATGATGCTATATTTGATGATTTGAATTAATTTTTCTTCTAAAAGTATTGTCTTTGGTTGATCATACAACTTAGAATTATTTGCATTGCTTTGCTCCATAATAGTTTGACTGGTGAGAATCAAATGACACTCATGTAATTATTGGATTTGTTCCTGACTGAACATGTGCATTGTTTCTTCAGTCGATTGGGTAGGGGTGCATGAGCTCCTCCATCTTGATCTTTTTACGTTTGGAAGGGAAAGCAATGTAATGAACTAAAATTCTTTGATGTCCTTTAAGCCTTGATAATTTAAGTAGATGTACTTATCGAATGCATAAGAATCACTCTTTTCAGCCACTAGAAAATTATCTTCTTGGTTAATTTTTGATGTAGATCAAGTTAGCTTGACATCTAGGTTTTTATTACTATCTTCCTGCCGTCTGGTCCCCCTAAATTATAATTCTGGACTTGGGACCCCATCAACCTGTCATGGAATTGTTGTTTCATCTAAGCTGTTAGTACACTAGTGAAACTTTCTTGCAAATGGGTCAGTTTAATCGGAAAAAGGAAGTCAGCTAGGGAATGTGCTCCGTTCGAAGCCCACAACTTTTGGGGACAGCCTCTATTTTGCCTTAGTTTTCTGCTTGTAAGTTTTATCAGCAGAGCTCTTCAATTGATCGACATGCTAACTTAAAATAGACAAAATCCAACCAAATCCTGCATCATTTGTGGGGAAATTTGGACTAAGCAGGGTGATTCAAAATGTTTGTCATCTCAGCCCTTTTGAACCCCCAGATGATACTTGGTCGGATAGGGGTCTTCCCGTCTATTTCAGGGATTGTGTGTCTTCGTATTTAGTGAGTCTGCTTGTCCTTGGCAAAAACTCCTTTCTTGATCATTTTGCTGACATTTTATCTGTGGGGTCTTTGTGTGTAATTGTTGAACCTTTGAGAGAGGGTTCTTTGTACCTAATAAAATCTATCGTTGTTATTTTGATTGTGCAATCTTGAGTCTTACCTCTTTATGAGCTGATGGCAATAGTTTACCCCCGTATTTATCATCAGCTAACTTTACTTTGTATAAGTGCTCTTGCACCGGACAAGATCAAAAGTAGTCTGACTCTTTGTGACCAACTTGTTATTTTTGAATCATTTTTAACTAGTTTAGGCTGTCTTGTAATTTCATAGGTTTAGGGTTGCAATACATTCTTATCTTGATGAGTACAAGACAATAAGATTGTCTATTGATAATTATTCTATGCTTGTATTATCAACTGGCTTCAAGTACTTATCTTTGGGCATCTATAATGGGTCATATTTTTAGGCTTGTCCTCACTGAATCATCATGGTGTATATTAGATCAAGTATTATTAAGACTAAAAACATAAGATGCTGTTCTGAAAGAGAGCGTGTTAGATATGTGGATTTACTAGTTTAAGAAGCAGAAAGTGATGATATTGCTTAGAATCGAGATTCATCTTGATTGTCATGATTGTTGTATTATGCCTCTTAGATTAAGAACAAATGAAAGCGTATCTAGAAACATTAGTGTCGTTGAGATGATTAAGAACAAAAGGGACGATAACATACCATAAGTTTTCATCATCATCTTAATTTTTTTCACATTAAGCTACAAACAATCTCCATCTCCATTACCCAGCAAGATCCTGAGAATGCAAAGGGCCTCGGCTGACAAGCTTTTGCAGCACCTCAATCTGGAACGCTGCTGCCGGTCGCGACGGGCCGAAGCCGAATTGCCATACTCTCAGAGAAACAGATCACAACAACCGTGAGGTTGTCGGCGGTGTTGAGCCTCAGCGCCTCCATGACGAGCTCCCTCGCACACCGCTGGGGGTCGTCGTGCCGCCTGAGGCCCCTGCGTACGACGCTCACCGCGTACTGGCTCGACATGACGTCCCATATCCCGTCGCAACCGATGATTAAGAATTCGTCGTCCTCCGTCAGGACGGCGTGCCGGAACTCCGGTTCTGGGATGAGCGGTGACGGCGGCACCTTCAAGTCCCAGTCTCCCAAGGCTCGCGTGACCGAGAGGACGCCGTTGAGGTAGCCATCGTAAACAAAAGCCCCGCACTGCTCGACCCTCTGCCTCTCGCTTGCATGGATAGGCTTATGATCCTGTGACATCTCGACTGCTTTGCCTTTCCTACATAGAACTGCCCTGCAGTCGCCTGCATTGGCTACGAGGAGAAGCCTGCCCTCAGTAAGGCAAAAAGGATCAGTATCGGAAGCTTGTGTCATGGAAAGAAGAACAGATACAAACAAGGTAGTGTACATTACCTCCCAAACACCAATGCTGTGAGTGCCGTAGTCCCCGAAGAGCTGCTAACAGTGCAGTCCTCAGCCATGGCAAGGTCTGCAAGAAGGAACGCCTGACGAACCGAGTTCTCAACAGATTCCACAAAATCCTTGTCAGCTTCTGATGATGCCCAAGGAAACTTAGCATCTTCAAACAGAAACCTAATTGCATGCCTCTTAATGTAGGCAGCTGCATCTGGACCTCCATGACCATCGAATACCTGCAGCAGAGTAGAGTTGCATCATTTCTGACATTTATGTGAGGCTGCTTTAAAGCTCAAAGACGGATAGATCGATTACTTACCGCGTAGAAGGCACTCGGTGCAGGGCACCTAAGCAGGGAGCCTAAGGGTGCCGAAAGATCATCGATACGGATATGCTCATCTTCCATGAAACTCCGGTGCCCGATGTCGGAAAAGCTACCTGAACGGATGCTAGGAACAAACTGAGGTGGCTCTGTAGATGCACTCAAATCCTATTATGAATCGAAAATGAAATAGTAATGTAGGGAGTCAGTGAATGTACCGCAGAAAGAAAGAGATCATCAAAACACTATGATGAATCAAGAACAAGATCCAAGAACTATGATTTAGAAGAGTATGGGTCTTCACATCAATTCCAATCCAATAAACACCCAAGAAAGAACATAATTGAAAGAAGAAGAGCTTGAAGCCAACCATCTCGGGAACGGTAAGATCAACCGCGGCCGCCGCAGCAGCCTCCAGCCCCCGTTCCGCCTGCCGAAACGCCGGCGATGAGGGAGCCGCTGCCGCCGCGGACATGTTGACGATCCCCTCAATCTCCTTAGCGGTGCACCGATACTGCACGTCCAGCACGGGGATGCTCTGATGGATAACCACTGCTCCAGCCACCATCTCGAATCCAAGGAATGTCCCCCCAACTTCTCCGATAAAGGGCGACCAAAACACTCCTCGAAATCCAACCTTGATGGTATATCAATCCAAGAACAGCGCCAAAATCCGGTGGCTTTCTGCCTGCCTTCTGAATTCGGGCTTCTTCGGACCTTACCGGTATCTCGATGGCTTTTCGCGCAATTAATAAGGGAAGGCCGCCTTCCACGCGTTATTTATAAGAGGTCTCGGGCGACCAGCAGGTGGGGCGACAAATACGGACACGTGCGGATTCGGAACCTCCTGGTGGCCGGAGACTGACACGTCGCGACGGGCCGAACCGGTTGTCGTGTTAGGTGAGCGGAGCGAGGAGATAGGTCTCATCGTGGATCGAATACGCCACGTGGCGCCACTGGCTTCGTCGATAAGTCGGTCAACGAGCCCGATGAGGAATCCTGGCCGTCGAATCGATCAGAGGCGGTAGATAACACGGGGGAAATAAATGGGGACCTCATTGGAATGCCTTAGGAGTTGCCACGTCGGCAATCGTAGCTTCTTCGAGATCCCGCCAGAAGATTCTTGGGCATAGGGTTGACTAAAAATGCCCCTACGATCAGAGAAACTTCGCCTACTAATTAGTAGTAGGATTAGGGTTCTTGGTGGAAGCCTCTTTAATTATATTTCTCGTACAATTTTCAAGATTTTTTTTTAGATGTTCTGTATGTTTAAAATACTAAAGTAATAACAAAAATTGGTCTCGTTAACAGTTTTTATAGATTCGAGTTATTCGTGGTTTCATAAAATTTATGTAGTTTTTCGAGATTAATTTTTTTTTGGTATTGTTTAAAAGAAATGACGGAGGGTAAAATTAAGATATTACGCATATGAATCACGTGAAAGGATGTTCGAATTAATCTAACTCGATTGAAGCTCACATACACAAGAAATATAATGTGATCCGAATGGGCTTTGTTTTATAATTGATTTATATGAATATTAAAATCGAATGAGTTTTGGGTATGATTTCTTCGCTCGTACCAATACTAAAAAATAATAATAATTTTAATAAATAATAATTGACTTAGATTATTATACTCCGAATAGTTTTTATAGTAGATTTATCATGAAAACTTTTTTCTATATAGGCAAAATATTTTCCCGATCTATCATTTTCACGATGAAATATTTTCTTGGATTGCTATTTTGGATTACTGTCTATATTGTATAGCTGTTTATCGATCTATCTTGTTTGTGCTAACTATACTACCCTATATCAAATTATGATTGAGATGAATAGTACAAAAATAAATGATATTTTTTTATTTGGGGGTGTCACGGAATGTATCACGAAAATAATTCTGCTTAACCGACAAATTCACGAGTCAAAAGGGAGTGTCACGGAATGTATCAGAGTTGATTTCAGAGCACGCAATGTACCTTCTTAGGATTACAAGATGATTGACATGACTATATCATGATACTCTCAATGTCCTATATGCAATCGCCCAAAGTAATAGAATAGCTCGATGCATGATGTGAGTGGAGGAGCATCCACAACAGTGAATTAGTTTCCGGTTCCAGAACTCTCACTGTCTTCTTCCTCAGGTCAGGACAGTATGTAATGTTTTCTGCATCTTTTATTTCTCTTAGCCATTTCTTCAAATATTTGGTTGAAATGCTTTTGGCAGACAGACACATTCTTTTATCTCTGATCTAAGCTTGATCAGATACTGAGTTTTCCCAAAGCAGGCTTCTGCTGCATGTGAACCCACAAAGAAACAGTACCGGGAATTGATCCCCGTGATAAGATCTTGAGCTGACCAACTTTGTTCTCTAGCTTTTTGCCTACACCCTGCAGCATTTCTTTACTTCTAAGATGACACTATTCTTTCGGTGTCATAAAGCTTGGATTAAAATGATTGCTGCAACAGGTAACTCGAGCTTATCGATGGCCCCATGCAGTAGCCATTAGAGCACATTTCTTGAGGAACGTGTGCATAGCTACAGCTTCCTGTGGCAGTGGTTTCATGGCTGAGAACGCCTGGGTGATCCTTCACAAGGGAGCTGCCGGCCACAGAGCAGGGTTGGCACCAACCCGTGACTTGCTCCCCACTGTTGTCTCCTTGTCCACCTGTGGCCTCCTTCCCCCTCTTCTGGGCCACTGGTGCGCTATATAGTACAACAAGAGTTCACGGGACTCTCCCTGCCATGGCTACACTCCTCCTTTCACCAATAAAATACCCTTCTCCACTTGCTCCCTCTTGTTCTTCATGATCTTGGCACTCTTTAACCCTGTGGATCTCCAGAACCTTCATATTACACTTCCCAAACTTTTAGAAGAACCTGTGACTAAGTAATCTTGCCTCGCAATGGACTATGGTCATCATCCTTTTACTTTCTCCATTTGATCCGAGGAAAAAATGCATGCAAGATGCACTTTTTATAGCGAGATAATGATGGTCTGATCCACAAGGAGGTGACATGTGTCATCTCCTTCATGGGTTCCTCACCCATGTCACCGCTGCAAGCTTAAATAGCTGAAGACCCAGGTCTTCTTCTTCCTTGGCTTACTCCTCTGTTCTGTGTTGTGCTTTCCTGCTTTCCTCTTCCTTTTCCAGCTTCACAGTCTCGGATGGGAATTCCTCGTGCATTGCTTGTTCTCTGCATTGCCACCGCGTTCTTGTCGTTGGGTCCTCGTGGGTCGCTCGGAAGAAGCCACCTTCACAAGAGGCAGCAGAGTCATGGACGCAGAGGAAATGGAGGTCATAGACTGCAGTCCCCTGTGGATTCCCCTGCTGACCCACCTGCCGCCGGTACTTCCACTACCGTCACTCCCTCCAACTCCAGCTCGGACTCTAGCGTCTTCGATGTCAGATCGTTCGGTGCGGTCGGCGACGGCGTCACCGATGACACCGAAGCGTTCCGGTCGGCGTGGAGGGCTGCTTGTTCCGTCGAATCGGCCACTCTGTCTGTGCCGTCGGATGGCGTTTTCATGATAACCTCCACCATCTTCCCCGGCCCGTGCCAGCCGGGACTTGTTTTCCAGGTAATCCTGAGCACAAAGATTACTTGTTCGGGTTGAATCCAGTGATGGAATTGGAGGTGGTGATTACTGCAGGTGGATGGAGTCGTCATGCCACCCGACGGACCCCAATGCTGGCCGAAATCCGACAGCAAGCACCAGTGGCTTGTGTTCTACCAACTGGAAGGGATGACTCTGAGAGGAGAAGGAACCATCGAAGGCAACGGAGAAGACTGGTGGAGCCTCCCCTGCAAGCCTCACAGAGTATGTCTTAACGACGACCTCTTTTCAGAATCGCTCACACATTGAGGTGGGAATGATGACAGTGACTGCTGTTGTTGCAGGGTCCTCATGGATCGACATTGCCGGGATCTTGCGATAGCCCCGTGGTGAGTGACCAAATCGAGCAGCTTCTTCACGTAACAGCGAGCTGATGATGATGCATTCTTCTCTTGTTGTGGATTCAGTTGATCAGGTTCTTCATGAGCTGCAATCTCACCGTGAGAGACCTGCGCATCGAGAACAGCCCGCAATTCCACATCAAGTTCGACGCCTGCGAGGACGTGCACATCGAGGGACTGTCCATAAACTCGCCGGCGTTCAGCCCCAACACCGACGGCGTCCACATCGAGAACACCAGATCCGTGACCATCTACAACTCGATGATAAGCAATGGTTAGTAGTAGTAGCAGTAGTATTCCCACCATTCGACGGCGAGTGTTGATGGAAGAGATTGTTGAGTGGCTCAGGTGACGACTGCATCTCGATCGGCCCCGGTTGCTCCGACGTCGACATACAGAACGTCACTTGTGGCCCGGGCCATGGCATCAGGTAACGCCATCGATCCTATGCACTCCAACTGTTTGTTGATATCCTGTTAGCGAAGCTTGACGCCGCGAGGGCATGGCGCAGCATCGGGAGCCTGGGTATGCACAACTCCGAGGCCTGCGTGTCGAACGTGTCGGTGAAGAACGCGGTGATACGGAACTCGGACAACGGGGTGAGGATCAAAACGTGGCAGGGAGGAATGGGATCGGTGTCGGACATCAGCTTCGACACGGTGTACATGGAGAACGTGAGGAACTGCATCATCATCGACCAGTACTACTGCTCCAACAAGGGCTACTGCCAGAACCAGAGCTCCGCGGTGTACGTCTCCGGCGTGACCTACGCCAACATCAAGGGGACGTACGACGTGCGGAGCCCGCCGATGCACTTCGCCTGCAGCGACACGCTGCCGTGCACCAACATCACCATGTCGGAGGTGGAGCTGCTGCCGCACGAGGGTGAGTTGGTGGACGACCCCTTCTGCTGGAACGCCTATGGCGTGATGAGGACCGTCACCATCCCACCCATTCCTTGTTTGCAGGACGGCCAGCCAGAGTCGCTCCAGGAGATCCCAAACTTGGGCTGCTGACTTAGCTCAAGTCACCTACGGTGGACCGCCATAACACCATAATACAACGACTATATAAGCTAACTCTTCTTCTTCTTCTTCCTCTTCTTCCTCTGTCTCACTCGTATCTGCTAAAGCTCACATCCTCTGTTGGTTGCAAGTGGTAAGTAAATCGCAAGGCATTGGGCTCACATTTTGTTGAAAGAATTAGGGGATTGCCTACACGCCAATTTTTCTTCTATAAAGGATTCGAGTTTGAATCAAACCCCACAGAGAGTTGATTGATGTTTCTTCTTCCATTCCACGCGGTGTTTCTTCACCTCATTCTCAATCTCTGGTGGTTGGGGGCGGGGGCTTCGTCTTGTTTCCTTCTTGCAAGCAATCTGGGCGTTGCGGGCCACAAGCGGGGGTGCATTTCTGACCGCACCTTTTGCCGGGAAGATGTGTGGTGCCACGAGGCTCCACTTGGCTTTGCCACGTTATTTGCTAATTACTCGTCGAGAAAAGGGCCTATATTTGAATTATAAAGTTATATGTATTAAATAAAAATGTTAATTATTCGATTTGGAATTAACTGATGCTCGATAATGCTCTTCGATGCCTAATTTTAATTTAATTAATTCGATATTAGATATTTTTAATTAGATATTTTTATATTTATCAAATTAATTGGTTAATTACCTTAACGAATCGTATGGTGACATATGATATACATTCGGCATGGCGAGTGGAAAGTGCAAAAGAGCTATTGGCGGGTGGACCCAAAAAGTGTGGGTAATATTGCTTCTTCACGTGCAACTCGCTGCAGACCTCCGTGGCTGCCAAGTTGCCACGTCAACACACGAGAAAGATGACTTGGCGGCAGACATGCTAATTAGCACGGTTCGTTCGCATTCTGGGCTGACAACGCATGAACGAATGGCGTCGACAGACATGCTAATTAGCACGGTTCGTCTCCCTTTCTCTTGTGGCCCGACATAAACCACCTCTCTCACTCTCTCCGGTGTTTCGGCCGCACGTCTCTTCTCCACTTTCCTCTCCATTTTACATTTATACCCTTCCGCGGTCTTCACCAATTTTGTTCTCGGCCTCGATTCCGATCCCTCTCCGTCCTCCCCATGGCCATGGGGCTCTCCACCGCCAAACCCTACCACCGACGCCTCTTCCTCCTCCTACTCCGGTGCACCAGAACCGCCGAGCCCTCGCCAAAATGTCCCCATCACCGCCCCTTGTCCTGTTCCTCCCCCGCCGCCGCTGCCGAAGCCACCCACCTCCGCCGCATATTCCGCCCCGGCGATCCCAACAGGTTCGCGCCCGGAATTCTCGACGCTTTTTGGGGCGTGCGGCGGTTCTCGACCTCTGTCGATCCGATCTCTGGCGGCGATAAGAACCTCGAGAGGATTTTCATCCAGAACATGTCCGTGAAGCCCATCGTGGTCGATGGAGTTGATGCCGTGCCGATTGAGGATGAGAGGAAAGAAGAGGTTGATACGGTAGTGGCGGACGTGGAGGAGGGAAAAGAGGAGCTTTGCGGTGGTAAGGTTGGGGATTTGGACCAATTGGAGGGTGGCTTGGAAGTACGGCAGGAGAAAGAGCAGTCGGAGGTGGAGAAGGAGGCCTGGAGGCTTTTGGACAGGGCAGTCGTGAGCTATTGCGGGAGACCAATTGGCACCGTGGCTGCCAATGATGTGACGGCGGCGAACCAAGCTGTGAACTACGATCAGGTGTTTATCAGGGACTTCGTACCATCTGCCCTAGCTTTTCTGCTTAAGGGGGAAAGCGAGATCGTCCGCAATTTCCTCCTCCATACTTTGCAGCTTCAGGTAGAACTCATCACTCTTTGTACTCTGAAGGTTATTTTGAGTTTATAATGCGAATATATTCTGTATAGTCGGTTCCTTCACTATCATAGCCCAACTTCACAGTTCAGTTCACGATAATTTCCTAAGACTGCTATTTTATGAGCTTAAGTGTTGATTTGGAAATTGGATTCTTATTCATGAATTGGTTGTGGGTCCACACCGGAGAAATTCGAACAGTATCATTATTGAGGTCATGCATCTTCCTCGTAAATGGGTTTTTGTGGCCTACTTTACGTTGTAAACACTGCATTAATGATTGTGCATGCACAATAATAGAAACAATAAGCCATTATGTTGTAAGAATTCTGGGTTTGGATTCATTGAGTATCTGTGTAGGGAAAAATCTTTAGTTTAGTAAAATTTTATTATGTTTTCTTATTTCTTTCCTTGCACCATTAATTCCAATTAACTCATCTTTTTACTAGGACAACTATATGTCTTATATCCATATGTCTATCTCATCTTAAATAATTTTCTATCGTCACATCTTCTATTGGGGTTATCCTTAATTCTTTATAAACTGAAATTTTTTTTTTTGTCTTTTCTTGCAACTCAGACTTACACCTTAATATTCCCGGTTACACTAACTTTCTTATATGTTTTCTTTTTTTCATCCGATAATTCAATCAATAGAATATGACTAGTCTTACAAGTGTTTCATAAAATGTTCATTTTAAATTTAAGGGGCACATGACAATCATACAAAACTTATAATGCTTTTCTTTGCCTTTAACAATTCCACTGTTTACTCTATGGACAATGTCTTCATCACTGAATAATAAATCCAAGATACATGAAACTCTTACCTATATGAACTTCATGATGATCCATCTCTATCACACCCTTAGTTTTTCTCATAGAGTTATGAACTACGTAGTCTAAAACTTTTAGTTTTCAATCTTTATCTCCATAAATTAAGAAGTAATTAATACTAAACTATCATCAATATCATTAACAAATAACATACACCATGGACTCCTATTCTAAATATGACCAGTAAGTTTGTCCATCATCAATTTCAGAAGGTAAGAAATTAATGTTTGTGTAACCTTGTTGTTATAGGATAAACCCTAGACATACTTTCTATTGTTCTATGCTAGTGGCTACTTTTTTATGCATTTATTATACCAATTTATGTATTGATCATTCATTACTTTTCTAAAACCCACTACAGTGATCAATAGTCCGAGCATAAAAACAAATTGATTCTTGAAAATACTCATCTTGCATCTTATTATTTGTTAAATCACTTATTACTTGAAGTTTCACAAGTTTCAATATCTCCCTCGGACTTCTAGATCAAAAGCTTTTCTTCCAACCATCAGATATCTTTTTTAATTCTCAAAATTTTGATGAATAAATCAGTCAATCAAATTGCCACTTGAAATCGCGATAGCAGATACACATAAAACTTTAATAGAAGTACCATTAGCTCCTACACATTAATCTATATGTTTTTTAAAACTTCCTTTATCTCATTTAATCTAATTTTATAAGCAAGGTTTGTCGTACCACGGCATACCGCTTGGTATAGGTAGTGTGTATCAGTCTGATAGGAGACCGGTGTGGATGGTACATATTGATTTGTTGATATGTACCACCATACCATGTGTCGATACATCGATATGTACCATATTGATAATCAATTTGTATACTGATACGGACCGGTAAGGCGAACCATGTTTATAAGTATACCTATGTGTTTTGAACTTTGTACTATTTCGTGGCTCCTAACTCTTCTCAATGTTTGACCAAAAGATAAAATGCCTTGAAACTGATACCTGAAGTACCGTGTCTATAAACAAAAGTAGAATAAGAATCTGGAAGATGTATTGCTAGCATGACCATGTGGTGAAAACTTAAACCTTGTTGAAGTGCCTATCATGCAAATGAAGCCATTTAAAAACCATGTGAAGGAAGAGGCTGGCATTAATGATTCTTGTCCAAAATAATGTATGCCGATACTCAATAAACTAGTAGAGCCAGTTACAAGTAGCCATTTTAACATATATCGCACTGTAATCTGGACTTGTTAGATTGGTGTTAAATTAAACTGCACTTTAGGTTATACATTCTTATAATCTGAATTAGATGTTTCAGACTTCAATTTATATATATTTTTGGCAAGTAGAGCTGGGAGAAAACAGTTGACTGCTACAGCCCTGGACAAGGGCTGATGCCGGCTAGCTTTAAAGTGAGAACTGTACCTTTGGATGGAAGTAATGAAGCATTTGAAGAGGTTTTGGATCCTGATTTTGGAGAGTCAGCAATTGGACGTGTAGCACCAGTTGATTCTGGTAAGCTGGTGATGAAGCTTTTCTTTGTCTTTCACAATATTATGTAAATTGAATCACTTGAGAAGATGTATTCTGCAAGGCAATTCTTAACTCAACATTTGCAGGACTATGGTGGATTATACTGTTAAGAGCATATGGAAAGATAACTGGGGATTATGCATTACAAGAGAGAGTGGATGTACAAACAGGCATCAGGTTGATTTTAAATTTATGTTTGTCAGATGGCTTTGACATGTTCCCATCTCTATTGGTCACAGATGGTTCATGTATGATAGATCGAAGGATGGGTATCCATGGGCACCCTCTTGAGATCCAAGTAAGTTGATGTTTGTTTATTCTCTGTATAGAAAGTCTATATTTTTCATAATATAATTAGTCTTTGGATATTCATCTATCGACTCAATGAAATCTTATGTTGTGTAAGTTCTTTTCTTAATATTTAAAAGACAAGTTCTGATGAATTTTAGCTATTAGATTGCATTGCACAGCTGCATAGGATTAGCATGCATGATTATGGCAAATCTCTGAGTAGCACTTTGTGAGTCTTTTTCATACATTCTTCCTAATTAATCATCAACCATTTGTCATCTACCTTATTTGTTAATTATATGGATAATCTGATACCATGTACTGAATTACATGGATCACCATTTTTTTGTTTGCCCATCTCATTTTTGTTTCCCCCAAAGGTTTGTCCAGGCCACATTAGTTCTATAAGAAATATGAGAACTTGAGTTGTTTTATTTGTTGGACACTGTTGGCACATGCTGACCCTAGGCAGTAGGTGAGATGGCCACGTGTAATGTGTTCACTCAGCCTTGTACATTTGACCTGTTGTTTGTTGACATGTTTTACCTAAAGGCAACAATACAGAGCTGGAGTGAAAAAATTAGATAAGGGCAGTTTGATGGGAATCTATAAGTGTGCACCCATTGGGATGATGTTCAGATTGTTCCCCTCGACTTTGCCTTTCGCTATTGACTTTGCAACATGTTGCCTTTTCTCTGTTCCAAAAACTAAGACATATGTGTTCAAAACTTGAGTTAGTACATTTTAGGTACTGAAGTTGGTCTCATTCCATGACATTGGCTTGGCCTTTCCAGTTCATCATTCCATGATGGGCTACTTGGACTTTTGAGATGTACACTAGTGTTCTTCAGTTATGAAGTTTGATGTTATATATGTTAGTCAAATTCTATTGGTAGTACATGCCATTTATCTGTTATCGTTCTTATGCATGACAGGTCAACATAATATTGATTTTGAAAGGAACGTAACTATTTTATTTTTCCCATTGAGTTCTATTTTCTGATTTTTTTTAAATTTTTAATTTTTGTCATTCATGACTCACCATGTATACATACAATATGTGTCCAGTCATATCTTTTGTATCTTCAATTTTTTTTTCTTGTCGATGTTCAGTGTTTATGATGTCATGCTTTACTATCTGTCTTTTTATAAACCGCTCTTCTGCATTTTGTTTATGTTCATACCATTTCGTTGATCAGAGTTTTTGCTGTTAGGATGGTCTCACATATTAACTATTACATGACTTGACCTACATCCTAATGCATCTGAACTTGAAGTTTGATTATTTATTATTATATTGTCATTTGGTTGATAGATTTTGTGCCCCAGGCATTGTTCTATTCGGCTTTGCGGTGCTCTCGTGAAATGATCACTTTTAATGATGGATCTAAAAATCTGGTACGTGCTATTAATAACAGGCTCAGTGCTCTGTCTTTCCACATTAGGGAGTATTATTGGGTTGATATGAAGAAGATAAATGAGATTTATCGCTACAAGACCGAAGAGTACTCCCATGATGCTATTAACAAGTTCAATATTTATCCTGAACAAATTCCATCTTGGCTAGTTGAATGGATGCCTGATAAAGGTGGCTATTTTATTGGCAATCTCCAGCCAGCTCACATGGATTTCAGGTTCTTTTCCCTTGGTAATTTTTGGGCTATTGTTTCTTCACTAGCCACACCAAGACAGGCAGAGGGCATTCTCAATTTAATTGAAGATAAATGGGATGATATTGTGGGACGTATGCCACTCAAAATATGCTACCCTTCTTTAGAATATGAGGAATGGCGTATAATCACTGGCAGTGATCCGAAGAACACGTGAGTGTCTGAGCTTCCTCCGCCTTTTTAAGTTTGTATAATGCCCTCAACTGTTGCTATTTTATCATGGTTGACACATAAGAGACCTACAATTGTTCTGAAACCATTAGTAAGCCATCTACCTGGTTTTGTTTTCTATTTTGACTGACTTGATATAGAGTTCTATCATGGACATTATATGATTATCTTTTTGGTTATGTAGTATTCTTGTTTTGCTCACTGCAAACCTTGGAGTAAGCAATTTTATCTAAGAAGGAACATCTTTTTTTTTTTTCTTTCACAGGCCGTGGTCATATCACAATGGTGGATCTTGGCCTACACTTCTGTGGCAGGTAGTTTTCGTTTCAGTTTGCATGCTATGAATATGATAACAAGGCTTCTATTTGTAGATATATTGCTACCGGATCTTTTTCTGTTCAATAACCTGCTTCTCCGGATGTGTATCTGAGTACGACTTCTGTCTTTTAAATTTCAGTTCACATTGGCTTGCATTAAGATGGGCAGGTCAGAGTTAGCACAAAGAGCTGTTGCAGTGGCCGAGAAGAGATTGCCAATTGACAAGTGGCCAGAATATTATGACACACGTAGTGGAAGATTTATTGGGAAGCAATCACGGCTGTATCAGACGTGGACCATAGCTGGATTCCTTACTGCCAAAATGCTTCTGGAAAATCCAGCTGCAGCAGCTGTATTGACATGCGATGAAGATCTCGAGCTTCTTCAAGGCTGTGCTTGTAGTCTAAGCAAGAATGCCCGAATCAAGTGCTCCCGCCTTGCAGCCAAATCACAGGTTGTTGTTTAGTTGTGCTCTGACAGTTCATTCCAATAAACCTTTTTGTGGATAACTTCATACTGGACACTGGACAGGACATGAAATAGAGGGTGGATTCATTTCACGCTGGGATAATAATGATAGATCTCAGAGTGTAATACTTGAATCATTGCTAATTTTGTATCTGGAGATCCAATATTTTCCAACACAAGGTACTGGCCCATAGTCCTAACATTTATGTTCGATAAATTTGTACATATCAACATACTTATCTGTCACAAGCTTGTTTTGCTATCAAGATGTAGTTCACAACTGTAGTTTGAACAGAAATGTTAAATGTTTGGGCAACCAAGTGAGCTATAGTTATTTTATTTATTTCTTTTGTATGCTTGTTCTTGCAAGAAACTTTTGGGAGTTCACGATTGAATTCTTTTAGATTGCTTGTTCAAGGTGCAGTTAGGCGTCTGCAGAAATCGAATTATCAACTCACAAGAGAACATCTCATTGAAGCAGTATCATGAATATTGCAGTTTGTTCTACCTTTTCCTTGGTTTCTTTGGTGTTCCGATGAGATCTGGTTGCAGTATCATGGATAGTTTCTTGATGAAGTTGTTTTCTGGAATCTGGAGTACCATCAAGTGTGTGGTTGAGTTATTGAGCTGATGATGTATCTCCTGTTTCAATAATGTTGATTTCAGCACCCTGACGGGTGCACTCAATTTTGCATTAATGGTTTCAGAGATCTCACCAAACCCCTCACGAAGAGTCTGTAAGCTTTCACCTTCAAGGCCGCAATGGAGTAAAGCCCGACTTCAGTGCATGCATGTGCATGTCGACAGACTCGTACAAGCTCATACACCACCACCATGCTTTTCTGTAAGTGTCAGAGCTTGCCATTTCTCTCATTGATTCCATTGCTTGTAGATGCCTTTGCCACTCTTATGTTTACTGCTCAACCGTTCATCCTTCGTCACTAACAGTTGGCCACTGAGTTGGAGCATTCATTCGGCTATAACTTCCTTCGCATGTGATCTGCTGATTCCATGTCAGACATATCTGAATTCCCAAATCTCCACTCGACTCAGATTGAGGGAAAAAAGAAAAAGAAAAAGGTAAATTGGTACATCATTGAGGCCTCTCTCTCCGGTATAAGTAGGAATGGAGAGTGGAGCAAAGGTCCGTTGAACATGGAGAAGTCGAGCATGGTGGTGGTGCTGTTCCTTGCATTGTTTCTGTCTTCCTTTGCCGGAGGCCTTGAAGCAAGAGAACTCAAAAACGAGCCCATGTCGTACCAGCCTCAGAACTTCCCTGGAGCATTTGGAGGCTTCCCGGGCTTTAGTTTCGGCCAGCCATTCCGTGGATCCATCCCCACCATTCCGGGCTTCGGAAACTTGCCAGGGATTCCCGGCGGCGGCATTGGCGGCCATCAGGTTGCTACGCCATGATCGAGTGGGCAGTGCCATCAAGCTCGTGCTGTGATCATAAATCGTATGTGTGAAGAGCAGCTATATATATGTAGGTTGCTGCGGTTGTGGTTTCTTGCTTTGTGATCAGGAAAGAGTTGTGAGAGAGTTCTAAGTTAGCTCTTGGTTTGCTGTGTGTTGTTTGCCTGCATGCTAATGTTGTGATTGCTTTCGTCTTTCTGGACTAGTGAAAACTCTGTTTGTTTTCTTTCTCTATAGTAATTCTAAATATTAAATACTAGATCACCTCATAGTAATCCTCAGTTTAGACTATCCTTTATTTATGAATATAAATTGATAAATAGTATACCGTCAACTAATAATAAATAGGCATATAATCACCACGTAGTGTCCAGGGTGGAAGGAGAAGACAAATGTCATCCTCTATCCGTCTGCCGCAAGGGTTTAAGATATACGGTTATGGGTTTATCTCTCATTATCGTCCAAGTGGATTAGAGGTCAAGGGGAGATTGTTGGGGGCAATTAGGGGTTATCTCCCCATTGAATATTTCATAAAATATTCTACCCATTTACGCCAAGGCATAAAAGCTCATCTTCAACACAATGAACAAGGGACTTATCTTTTTGACTACTCGCGTCCGCACTCCTATACATCGGGTTACTAACTTGGGTGTCGGAGGCATCGGGTCGAGAAACCTCTCCCGAGCTCGGTTTTCATCTAGGTGGCACCTTGAGAGCTTGGTGTTTCTACCTCGAAAGCACCTAGGACAATCCTGCATATATAGGTTCAGATCACATCGGGCTGATCAAGACATCAACAACTTATTCCCTCATCATTTTGAGTTAGAAGAAGGGCTCGATGTTGTAGAAGCACCAACTCGGTGATCCTCTCAATGAACACTCGAGCAAAGAGACTTTGCCTCTAATTCATAGTACTTTCACTTAAGGGGCAGCGATCACCCTTTTCGCACATGAACACATCCACCTTAGTGTAAACGTTGATGTAGTATTGACGTCTATTTAACGACCCGAGTCTCTCACCCTCAAGAATGACCTCGAACTAATTGCTCATCCCCGCTGAGGTGTTCTTGGGAATGTGTCCCTAGGACCATCGGTAGCAATGGTTCTTGAACTTAAGCAAGCGAAGGAGAAAACGTTTACAGACTTCGTCACTCGGTTCACCAATGAAATCTGAGGTATGGTAGATGCCCATCTATCACTCATAATGCAAACATTTATGATGAAGGTCAAGCCCTTTTATTTCTTTTGGATGTTGGTGGAAAGACCACCGGTAATGGTACCAAAGGTACTTCAAAGGGTCAATAAATATATTACTACCGAGTTAATGATTTTTGGTAAGCGTGAGTCATACAAGAGATTGAAGCAAAATGACTATAATCCACCTCGACCCGAGGTCATCGTGGTGAAGGGGAAACGAACTACTCGAGTTACCTTACCCAAGGTTTATGCTGACCCCCTTGAATATGTTTAGTTCTGAAGTTTTTCTACAAATAAAAGAGAAGAGACTCTTAAAAGACCCTCACCTGATGAAGACTTCATTGATAAAAAGAGATGGGTCCAAGTATTACTTGTTCCATCAGGATTACAACTATGATGCAAAGGATTATCATAACTTAAAAAAGTAGATTGACAATCTCATACATTGGGGACACCTTGTGCGATTCATCCGAAAGCATCGGGAACCCTCAACCCAATTTTAGGGGTCGATGGAGAAGTAGATCGACATTATCATTGGTGGACCTGCCTCGAGTGGAGACAGCTCTTTGAGTCATAAAACTTATGCCCGAGCTATCATTGAAAAGTGCCCAAGAACAAAGAGCGACCTAGAGATAACATTCACGGTGAAAGAGATAGTGTACCTCGACCCGAATCACACTAATGCTTTAATAGTTTCTATAAGGATTATCAATACTCAGGTGAAGAGGGACATGATTAACATAGGTAGCTCTATTGGTATTCTCTACTCGATGCTTTCCTAAAACTCGGGCTCTCGACTGATGACCTTACCCCTATGACTTCTTCATTGACGGGATTCACTAGCGACTTTGTCTCGCCTCCTGTGATAGTGAACTTACACATCATATTCGAAAATGAACCTTGTTCCAAAACAATACTGACCAGATTCATGATGGTAGATACTCCCTCGATATATAATGTAAGTATAGGACAACTCATACTAAATAGGTTAAGAGTGGTGGTATCAATCTACTATATGATAATGAACTTTCCGACGAGAACTAGCATTGGAGAGCTAATAAGTAACTAAGGGAGTTGTGCTAAAGTTACTTGATGATAATCTGATAATGAACTTTCTGACGAGAACTAGCATTGAAGACCCAATCTGAGGCGCTACCTATGGACCCTCCAAACTTTACAAGTTTATCCCACATCCTGAGCCAGTGGAGCCATTGATTGCAACACCCCTAGACAAGACTCAACCCGATCAAGTTGTCGGGGTGTCAGTTCTCGAAGAGAGATAGGTGTAACTCATCAATTTCCTTCAAGAGAATGCCAAGGTGTTTGTGTGGTCGTCGAGAGATATATCGAGAATCGACCCTAATGTAGCTCAGCATTTTGAAGATTTCTCCTGAGACATAACCAATAAATAAAGGCCTCACAAGTTTGCTCCTAACTACTAGTAGATAATTAGTGATGAGATAAATAAGTTATTAGGAGTAGAATTTATTATTGAGGTGCAGTACCCTCATTGGCTCGCCAACGTTATACTTATTAAGAAGTCTAATAAAAATTGAAGGATGTGTGTTGACTATATTGATCTCAACAAGGCATGTTCAAAGGATAGCTATTCTTTTTCTCAGATTGATCAGTTAATTGATGCTACCTTAGGTCATGAGATTCTCATAATTATAAATGCATTATCAAGGTATAACAAATCAGAATGACACCAAAGGATCGGGAACACACATTCTTTATCATTGGTTGAGTTACATATTGCTACCGAGTTATACCATTCGGGTTGAAAAATGTTAGGATAACGTACCAAATAATGGTGAACAAGATATTCAAGCACAAAATTAGGAGAAATATTAAAATGTATATAGATGACATGATAGTAAAGAGTAGGACAATTTTTTTTTGGTAAGTTGAAGAGTAGGACAATTGACATGCATTTGGTAGACTTGGTCGAGACATTTTAAGCTTTAAAAAAGTTCAACATATACCTTAATCCAACCAAGTATACCTTCGGAGTCAACTCGAAAAAGTTTCTTGGATTTATTATTCACCATAGGAGAATATATACAAACCTTGAAAATGTATGAGCTATATTAGAGATGTGCCCACCTCGACCGGTAAGAGAAGTCCAACAATTAACAAGGTGAATAACAACGCTCAATCGATTCTTATCCTAATCGGGGGATAGGTATTTGTCCTTTTTTCAAGTATTAAAGAACCCAAAGGGTTTCTTATGGATAGAAGAGTGTTAGGAGACTTTCAAAAGGCTAAAGTATCACCTCGCCCAATTGTCGCAACTTACCTCCTCTATCTTAGGTAAAACTCCAAGCCTCTACCTCATTGCCCCCGACCTAGCTCTCAGCTTAGTGATGGTACGAGATGAGTTGGGAGTTCAAAAGTCTATTTACTATATCATTCACATTTTAAGTGGGCCCAACGAATGATACCCTTATACCGAGAGGCTCACATTTACACTAGTATTGGCGGCAAGGAAGCTTCGACCCTATTTTCAACCATATGCTGTGTAAGTGATCCTCTCTCAGTTCGTTATCTCAAGTCAACTACTAAGGTAGTTAATAGAGCTGGGTGTGTTGGACATATGATATATTCTGAGGAATGCCATAAAAGTATAGATATTTACAGACTTTATATTAGAACTAACTTATCCTTTGCCCGAGGTCGACAACCACACCCCACCAGCATGGTCGCTATTCGTGGATGGTTCCACTACCTTGGATGGGGGTGATGTCGAATTCATCCTGAAATGCCCAAACAAACAAGTGTACGAGTAAGCTCTCCTATTTAGGGTCAAAATATCCAACAATGAAATCGAGTATGAGACACTTCTCTTAAGGCTCTAGCTTGCTCAGGAGCTTCAAGTCTAGGACTTGATAGTGTTTGGTAAATCATAATTAATCATGAACTAGGTAAAAGAGAAATATAAAGCTCAAGATGCAACTATGACAAAGTGCATCATTGAGGGCAATGATTAACCCATAACTTCTTTCAACTAAATGCATTACAAGTCCCTCGTGAAGAGAATGCCCAGGTTGACACTCTTGCTAGATTAGCATCGACCAGGGCCCCGTAGGAGTGCTAGTCATTATCGAGATGTTTCTAACCTAAATTATTAATAAGTATAATATGACTATAATTAGGGAAGAGCCAAACTAGATGAACAAGATCTTGCGCTAAAACAATGATGGAATGTTCCCTACTACATCATCTTGAAAAGTCAAGCATCATCGAGCATAGTATTACATAATTAATAATTTCTTATATCATAGGTCTTTTAACTAATTATTCCTCATATGCCTGACACCCCAAGAGACTAAGAGGGTGCTTATCACGTGCATGAGGGTATCTACGGGGAACATATTAGTAGATGAATCCTTGCCTTCAAAGTATTTCGACAAGGGTTTTACTGACTGACATTGCACAAGGATATAATAGCCTATACCCAAAGATGTCTTAGGTGCTAGAGGCTTGCATGGATACATCATCAACCGATAGTTCCTTTGAGTCTGATCAATTATGGATGATCATTCACCTAATGGGGTATAGACATCCTCAGACCCTTTTTGCTAGCCTTGAGCCAATAGAGGTTTCTCATTGTTAGAATTGACTATTTTATAAAATGGGTGAAGGCTGAGCTATTAACATCGATAACTGAGAAGCAAGTTGAGGGATTCATCTAAAAGAATACCATCACCCGCTTGGGAATTTTTAGAGCCATCATCACCGACAAAGGAACTCGATTCAACAATGCAAAGTTTGAGTTCTATCAATCCTACAAAGTTCAATTAAAATTCAGCTAGATAACCCATTCTCAAACCAATGGTTTCTTTAAGGTTACCAATTGAGTCATTCTTGAATGATTAAAGAAGTGAGTCATTAGAACAAAAGATACATAGGTAGACAGGCTACTAAGTATCTTGTGGGCCTCTTGGATAATACCTAAGATGTCCTTCAACATTTAAGTTGTCTAGGAGAATCATCGTTTAGTTTAGCATTCAACACTGAAGCTATCCTACCACCCA